CTCTCATGGTGGGTAGAGTGTTCTCACTCTCATGGTGGGTAGAGTGTTCTTACTCTCATGGTGGGTAGAGTGTACTCACTCTCATGGTGGGTAGAGTGTTCTTACTCTCATGGTGGGTAGAGTGTTCTCACTCTCATGGTGGGTAGAGTGTTCTCACTCTCATGGTGGGTAGAGTGTTCTTACTCTCATGGTGGGTAGAGTGTTCTCACTCTCATGGTGGGTAGAGTGTTCTCACTCTCATGGTGGGTAGAGTGTTCTTACTCTCATGGTGGGTAGAGTGTTCTTACTCTCATGGTGGGTAGAGTGTTCTCACTCTCATGGTGGGTAGAGTGTTCTCACTCTCATGGTGGGTAGAGTGTTCTTACTCTCATGGTGGGTAGAGTGTTCTCACTCTCATGGTGGGTAGAGTGTTCTTACTCTCATGGTGGGTAGAGTGTTCTCACGCTCATGGTGGGTAGAGTGTTCTCACTCTCATGGTGGGTAGAGTGTTCTTACTCTCATGGTGGGTAGTGTGTTCTTACTCTCATGGTGGGTAGTGTGTTCTTACTCTCATGGTGGGTAGAGTGTTCTCACTCTCATGGTGGGTAGAGTGTTCTTACTCTCATGGTGGGTAGTGTGTTCTTACTCTCATGGTGGGTAGTGTGTTCTTACTCTCATGGTGGGTAGTGTGTTCTCACTCTCATGGTGGGTAGAGTGTTCTCACTCTCATGGTGGGTAGAGTGTTCTTACTCTCATGGTGGGTAGGGTGAATAGTTCCGTAATTTGGGTTTTTATGGCGGGTTGTTCGGCTTTTATATGAATTGCTTCAAGAATATGTAATCTTCTTGCATCCTGAGTTTTGTCTATTATACAAATGTTTATATTTAGCATTTCTCTTGTTAGGGTGATGTCATGGGCTTGTCTCATGTGATGTTCAGGTGCACCTGATTGAAGATGACAGGTCAAACGCCTCGTCAGCTTGGTCGACGTCATACCTATGTACTTAGACTGAAGGTTACATCCTTCGTGGGGGCAAGTGTACATGTATACAACGCTTGACTGCTGTAGAGGGTTTTCCGTCGACTTCGGGCTGTTTTTTAATGGATATATTATATTTATCATATACTGTAAAACAAAGAAGACCATTGACCTCTTCATTAATAAGGACTGACCTCCGCCCATTAATGACATTGATGCTTTCTGGTCTCCTCTCTCACTGTGACTCTTTGCTTCCTGTCCTTCAGGGACTCCCTGACCCAGTCCAGTGTTCTCCCAGCCTGCTTCTTCATTATGTCTTTCATGGGGAATATCGTCAAACTTTTTTTGACAGTTTAGACAAATACAGTCTGTCCAGCCTTCCTTTTCCTGTCTTATTTTGGTAACCTTGTCATAAAACTCAATCACGTTTGATTGACTGCCTGAAACGCTTTGCGTAATAGTGGCTTTAGGCATTGTATGCCTCTATCTATAAAGTTCTATATCTATAAAGTTCTCATCTATAAAGACTAGTTCTATCTATAAATCCATTCTATAAAATGTTTGTATCACACCTTATATGTATGTACTTTACCTGAATAAACACTTGAATTTGCATTTGAATTTTGAATTTGTTTGTGAGGCACGACTTTCCATTTCTAAATTCCTGCTGATACTTTGTCACAGTCAATCCTCTCAAGGTGCTCCACTCTCGCTGCCTCACTGTGCTGCTGTGTAGGGAGCGTCTGCGTTAGTCTCCTCGGAGACCGAAAAAGAATCGTATATATATCATGTAGACCTGACCAAATGTAAACTGTGTCAACAAAATTATTCGCACACCCTCCGTCACTATGTGATGGAGAGCGAAAAGATACGTGAATGCAGAGACAATTCTATAACCAATGTTCCAGCGATGTGTCAATATTTCATTCAAAATGATCTGCTACCAGAAATTTTAGCCAAATATCCCCAGTTTGCAAACTGTAGGTAGTAACTGAGTGATTGTAACCTATCCACCGCTGCCCACTGGATGGGGGGCGGTGTGCAGGACAAACATATCAATTGTGACACTAGCTCTCCACATACAATACAATACAATACAATTTTATTTAGGTAAGGTACATACATACAATAAATTTTTACAAGGATTGGTTGACTTATAGGTAGAGCTAGTACATACAATGCCTAAAGCCACTATTACGCAAAGCGTTTCGGGCATAAACTGACATATGTCAGTTGCTTAATTTAGAACCTGTACTTGAGGTCGATCTCGAACCCATTGTTGATGTGACGACTTATATTGAATTTTGTAACTAGCTCATCAAGATTGTAACTTGCTTAGCTAAATGAATTGTGGGGTTCAGTCCCTGAGCCCATTATGTGCCTCTGTAACCCTCTCCACTACCACCCACAAGATGGGTATGGGGTGCATAATAAATGAACTAAACTAAACTAACTAACGTTTATATATTCGTTAGGCTTATATCAAGGTCGCCTTAAGGTCAAACTGTACTGACCTTCCGCAGGATGCAGCCCCACAACACTTGACTAACTCCTAGGTACCTATTTACTGCTAGGTGAACAGAGGCATTAGGTGAAATGAACCGTGGGAGTCCCGACTGTGAGTTAAGAACGAACTGAACAGAAGTCCTTTGCAAGTAAATTTTTGTCTTTAACATTGATGTTAATAATTCTATCAGGAAGCAAGTATCTTTCACTATATCCTCGTGTTATTTGAGGGAAAATTTCGTATAGGAGGATGCATTCCTAGTGTGAGAGGAATGTCTAGATGAAGATGCTGATGAAGATGGTGTACATTACCGAGAAAGACGTAAATCCTTCTTGCTACGTGGGTGTTCCTCTTGTGTGATTGAGGATATATACTCAATATATTGTGTGTTATGAGGTCAGTTCTCACACGGTCGGGGAAAAGCAATTGATAAAGTATGTAACACAGGCACACAAGCCCCCCCCACAGGAGGACGGTGAGGGGCGGGGGGGGGATGGTGAGGTGCCGGAGGGGTTTGGGGGTGCCGGGACCCACGAGGAGTGGTCCCGTCAGGTGGTAACTTGTGTTTGGAGTGAAGAGTAGAGGCCGGTGATGGGGGCTAAAAACTACCTGTTAAACTACCATTCAAGCTGTCATTGCAATCATTCTGAGCTACCTATGTGCTTTAATATACCTACAATTTTTCTCTCATCTTTTATTTTTTCCATGCTATGTAACTGTTATAATTTTTATAAATTTTGTAAAGTATTTACCTACTTATAAGTTTCTTAGATTAAGGACCTGCCCGAAACGCTGCGCGTACTAGTGGCTTTACAAGATTGTAATTACTATGCTATGTATCCTCACAATTCCAATGAGCTTTCTTGTATATATATAAATAAATAAATAAATAAATAAAAGCACGTGGAGTTTGTTATAGTTTAGGGTTAGTTGTGAGTGTCTTGCGCGTTTTCTGTGGTGGCTGGCGAGGCTCTGGCCGCTGTTGTGGGGGAGACTATGAAGGATGGATTGGAACGCGAGAATTGATGGAGAAATATCACATACGGGATAAGTTGTGATTTGTTCTGAGAGTGATGGTGCGATGGTGAAGGTTGGAAGTGCATTGTGAGAAGGGATCATTTAGACTTTAGAGCATTCCTGCTAAAACAGGTTTGTTACATCGTGTCATAGTTGTGGCTACATGGACACAGGTTGTGACTTTGACAAAAATAATATCCTAGTTTAGGTTGTGAGCTGATTGTTGAGAGGTTGGTGCTTGAGGGTGAACATGACAGGTAGGGAGGGGTTGTTATCTGGACAGTGGTGAGTGTTGTGTAGGCCAGCAGGGGCCAGATTCACGAAAGCACTTACGCAAGCATTGACGAACTTTTACATCTTTCCTCAATCTTTGACGGCTTTGGTTACATTTATTAAACAGTTTACAAGCATGAAAACTTCCCATTCAACTGTTGTTATTGTTATAAACAGCCTCCTGGTGCTTCGGAGCTCATTAACTGTTTAATAATTGTAAACAAAGCCGCCAAAGATTAAGAAAAAATGGACAGGTTCGTGAATGCTTGCGTAACTGCTTCGTGAATCTGGCCCCAGGTCTTGACCCGCTTCCTTCACGAGGTAAACACCTCGGCCCTCGAGGCTACAACCCAACACTGTGGTTGTCTCACACCATCACAGCTGTCACAGCAGATCGGCGTGTAATTAGAGGATATAAATTGTTAGAAAGACGAGACAAAGAGTACATCTTGAGCCATGGCGCATCCACAAAAGGTTCTCTGCCAGCTTCGCACCTGAAGCCATTCTGCCTCTTTAAGTGTAGCTGATCACCTAGTGCAGTTCCTTTCAGTGTATATAGTGCCTTCTTGAAAAGGGTACCTTCACTTGCTGTGTTTTACAGCCGCCGACCTGTAGGTGGTCCTGTAGGTCACTGGTCCACAGTAGCCGTTTTGGTTCGAGCAATGGTCCTTCTTACAGCTTGGGGAAGAGTAATATGGTGCGAAATAGCCTTCCCGGCTTGGTGCATTCGTTTGATAATTACTTGAGAAGAGTAAGCCTGTGACTAATTAACGACAAAAGCTTAACGTGTATGAATACACTCTGGCTGCCTGTCCCCCCGACACAGTGAATTATAATTATTATTAATTAAAAAAAATATGATGAACTCGCAGACAATCTGGCGGAGGGTTATTATGGCCTGTCGACCTCTGGAGGATTATTAAAGCCTGTCGACCTCTGGGGGCAGAGGAGGCCTAGTCGACGACCGGGCCGCGGGGACGCTAAGCCCCGGAAGCACCTCAAGGTAACCTCAAGGTAACCTCAAGGTATTAAGACCTGTCGATCTCTGGAGGCTTATTAAGGTCTGTCTTAAGGCCTGTCGATCTCTGGACATCTTACTGACCTCAGAAGACCTTAATGAACAAACAGCAAGTATACTTCAGTTGTAAACAGAGTTCAGGACGAAAGTAAACTTCCAATTATCCTGGGAATATGATAATCTTGGGTATACCTAACTGTTGTGGGTCGCATCCTGGGGTGACGCCTCCTAATTAGTAACAAGTATCTCTGGAAGGTCTGCTGGGACTACAAGTATCTCTGGCAGGTCTGCTGGGGCTACAAGTATCTCTGGCAGGTCTGCTGGGGCTACAAGTATCTCTGGGAGGTCTGCTGGGGCTACAAGTATCTCTGGCAGGTCTGCTGGGGCTACAAGTATCTCTGGCAGGTCTGCTGGGGCTACAAGTATCTCTGGCAGGTCGGCTGGGGCTACAAGTATCTCTGGCAGGTCTGCTGGGGCTACAAGTATCTCTGGCAGGTCTGCTGGGGCTACCAGTATCTCTGGCAGGTCTGCTGGGGCTACAAGTATCTCTGGCAGGTCTGCTGGGGCTACAAGTATCTCTGGCAGGTCTGCTGGGGCTACAAGTATCACTGGCAGGTCTGCTGGGGCTACCAGTATCTCTGGCAGGTCTGCTGGGGCTACCAGTATCTCTGGCAGGTCTGCTTAATAACAAGTATCTCTGGCAGGTCTGCTGGGGCTACAAGTATCTCTGGCAGGTCTGCTGGGGCTACAAGTATCTCTGGCAGGTCTGCTGGGGCTACAAGTATCTCTGGCAGGTCTGCTGGGGCTACAAATATCTCTGACAGGTCTGCTTAATAACAAGTATCTCTGGCAGGTCTGCTGGGGCTACAAGTATCTCTGGCAGGTCTGCTGGGGCTACAAGTATCTCTGGCAGGTCTGCTGGGGCTACAAGTATCTCTGGCAGGTCTGCTGGGGCTACAAGTATCTCTGGCAGGTCTGCTGGGGCTACCAGTATCTCTGGCAGGTCTGCTGGGGCTACAAGTATCTCTGGCAGGTCTGCTGGGGCTACAAGTATCTCTGGCAGGTCTGCTGGGGCTACAAGTATCACTGGCAGGTCTGCTGGGGCTACCAGTATCTCTGGCAGGTCTGCTGGGGCTACCAGTATCTCTGGCAGGTGCTGGGGCTACAAGTACTACCAGTATCTCTGGCAGGTCTGCTGGGGCTACCAGTATCTCTGGCAGGTCTGCTGGGGCTACAAGGGGCTACAAGTATCTCTGGCAGGTCTGCTGGGGCTACAAGTATCTCTGGCAGGTCTGCTGGGGCTAACAAGTATCTCTGGCAGGTCTGCTGGGGCTACAAGTATCTCTGGCAGGTCTGCTGGGGCTACAAGTATCTCTGGCAGGTCTGCTGGGGCTACAAATATCTCTGACAGGTCTGCTTAATAACAAATATCTCTGGCAGGTCTGCTGGGGCTACAAGTATCTCTGGCATTTACTTTACATCAGGTAAAAGTGTAAAGTGTGTGGACAGGCCACTACTAAACCATTACATTACTTTGTGTACAAAGTGATCTATTTAGAAATAAATCAAAACTCAAGCTGCATGGAATGGTAAACTATTTTATATCAAATGATACAATATCTAAACTCCTTGTACTGTATCCATGTTTCGCTTCAGGTAGATAAATGATATACGAGATTAAGGAACAAACTGAGTAGTGTGAAAACAAATAGCATCAAACAGGAGTTTTTCAGAGTCTATAATATCCTCATATCTAAAATAGTTTACCAGTTAGTAAAAAAGATCTCCCATCAGTGTAAAATAATTTATGTAAATGCATTGATGTTGTAATGAGGTTTTGTAATTGGTTGACATTATTATTATTAGGAGTTGAGTTAGGATAAATTGTTAATGTAAAAATCTCATTCTAGGAGTGAATAAGACCTTTGTGCCTTCTGTAGTCCTTTTTACACTATTATCAGGAAGAGTTTAGGAAGCACAATACCTACCGCTCACAGGATGAGTATGTAGTGCACAATTCTTCCCACAAGTTGAGTATGGGGTACACAATACTGCTCTCAGGATAAGTATGGGGTGCACAATACTGCTCTCAGGATAAGTATGGGGTGCACAATACTGCTCTCAGGATAAGTATGGGGTGCACAATACTGCTCTCAGGATAAGTATGGGGTGCACAATACTGCTCTCAGGATAAGTATGGGGTGCACAATACTGCTCTCAGGATAAGTATGGGGTGCACAATACTGCTCTCAGGATAAGTATGGGGTGCACAATACTGCTCTCAGGATAAGTATGGGGTGCACAATACCGCTCACAAGATGAGTATGGGGTGCACAATACTTCCCACAAAATGAGTATGGGGTGCACAATATGAGTATGGGGTGCACAATACCGCTCACAAGATGAGTATGGGGTGCACAATACCGCTCACAAGATGAGTATGGGGTGCACAATACCGCTCACAAGATGAGTATGGGGTGCACAATACCGCTCACAAGATGAGTATGGGGTGCACAATACCGCTCACAAGATGAGTATGGGGTGCACAATACTTCCCACAAAATGAGTATGGGGTGCACAATACTGCTCACAGGATGAATATGGGGTGCACAATACTTCCCATAGGATGAGTATGGGGGTGCACAATACTTCCCACAAAATGAGTATGGGGTGCACAATACCGCTCACAGGATGAATATGGGGTGCACAATACTTCCCATAGGATGAGTATGGGGGTGCACAATACTTCCCACAAAATGAGTATGGGGTGCACAATACCGCTCACAGGATGAGTATGGGGTGCACAATACCGCTCACAAGATGAGTATGGGGTGCACAATACCGCTTACAGCATAAGTATGGGGTGCACAATACCGCTCACAGGATGAGTATGGGGTGCACATACCGCTCACAAGATGAGTATGGGGTGCACAATACCGCTTACAGCATAAGTATGGGGTGCACAATCAATTACTCTCGTCTGAGTTCAGGATAAAAAATAATTAAAAACACACATTTTATGGTTTATTATTCAACAACAAAAATTAATTTACATATTGTATTAAAATTTAAGTAGATCAGCACAGAAGACAACAAATAAATAAATAAAACAAATAAAATACAACTCATTGAACAACAATTTACAAAAGTGATAATTACATCGCGAATTTTTTATGTTCAAACATACACAAGTTACAGGATTTTCCTGTAAAAATTCTCCACCAATGAACGCCGTTGGTTCTAGATAAGTGAGTGCTGATTGGCTCTTCTTGGCCAATTGGTTTATTTGTTTGGACATGGGTATAATATATATATATATATATATATATATATATATATATATATATATATATATATATATATATATATATATATATATATATATATATATATGTCGTACCTAGTAGCCAGAACGCACTTCTCAGCCTACTATGCAAGGCCCGATTTGCTTAATAAGCCAAGTTTTCCTGAATTATTACATTTTCTCTAATTTTTTTCTTATGAAATGATAAAGCTACCCATTTCATTATGTATGAGGTCAATTTTTCTATTGGAGTTAAAATTAACGTAGATATATGACCGAACCTAACCAACCCTACCTAACCTAACCTAACCGATCTTTATAGGTTAGGTTTTGTTAGGTAGCCGAAAAAGGTAGGTTAGGTTAGGTTAGGTAGGTTAGGTAGTCGAAAAAACATTAATTCATGAAAACTTGGCTTATTAGGCAAATCGGGCCTTGAATAGTAGGCTGAGAAGTGCGTTCTGGCTACTAGGTACGACATATATATATATATATATATATATATATATATATATATATATATATATATATATATATATATATATATATATATATGCGCAGAAATAACCACAAACTCTTCACTGGTCACATACGGAGATTTATATTAAAATTTAACTGTTTAAAAACAATTTTAAAAACAAATTGTTTTTACATAAACAAATTTAGTTGTTTAAAAAAATATACAAAACCGACTTTAATACAAAATCGTGGTAATCTAACTTTCAATTTTTGAACTGCATGATTATATAAAAAAAATCTCATTTTCTTACACACCCACACACAGGTGATTATACTCACAGACCTAGTTAATTACACACACACACACAGGTGATTATACACACTGGCTCTAGTGTTACCACAGAGCCAGACACTCACACACCTGCTCTAGCACAACTAAGTGCCAGTACTCACACACTGCAAGCACAACTAAGTGAGTACACACACACACATAGAATTAAGATACACACACACACACACATAGAATTAAGATACACACACATTTCCAAACAGAATGGTGGAGGGTTGGAACAAGTTAAGTGAGAAGGTGGTAGAGGCCAAAAGCCGTCAGTAGTTTCAAGGCGTTATACGACAGAGTACTGGGAAGACGGGACACCACGAGCGTAGCTCTCATCCTGTAACTACCTTATGATGATTTCGGGGCTCAACGTCCCCGCGGCCCGGTCCTTCACCACAAGCCGGCCTGTAATGATTACTCGTTCATGCCGGCGCGACTCAACTAATAAGCAATGTGAGAGATGTGATTGGTTCCACCGATGTAACCAATCAGTTTTCAGCGTTTGTCAACGTGCTGTAAACACACACAACTATGTGAGATGCTTCTGTGTGGAACAAGCCCCTCAGGTGGTAGGGAGCGGGACTAGATGACCAACGATAGCTGCTGACAGATGATTACAATAGCCAGTAGCCGCTGCATACAGATGGTTACAGTAGCCGGTTGCACAGCTGGTATTTATATGTGATGGTTACAATAGCTGTGCTATAATCGAACAATTCAACCACACTTGGACCAGCACCACAACTTAAACCGCTACCATAACTACCACTACACCTACACCCTACCACTACAGCCACACCCTACCACTACACCTACACCCTACAAGTCAGCTACCCATTCATACCGTCACCAATACAACTCAATGTCAACATAAATAATAACGCAAACCATTCAGAACATTTATGGAGTTGAATGCTGCATGCACTGGCTTAGTGCCAGAGAGAGAGAGAGAGAGAGAGAGAGAGAGAGAGAGAGAGAGAGAGAGAGAGAGAGAGAGAGAGAGAGAGAGAGAGAGAGAGAGAGAGAGAGAGAGAGAGAGAGAGAGAGAGAGAGAGAGAGGAACGACTCCTAGCCATTGGGGATCAAACAACGACCATGCAAAAAGCGAGGTCGTCGCTCTACTGACCAGTGAAAGTATTTGGGTTTCAGAGGAAGATTGTTAGTTTCCATTTATCATTAGGGGCAAGAGGTTAAAGGTTCTAAAGCATTGTAAATTATATGTGTGAGATGGCGGGCAACTAGCCTCAAGTTCTACCTTCTATTACTTGCTAGTGCGAGACTGCTACATACAGCACAACTTGCTATTTATACCAAAATACGCTATAAAAAAGCGAAAATATTGCGGAATTATCCTGTTTAACAGCACGAAAATTTGTAGCTGAAGCCACGTTATAATAAATTTAATTACTGCTAAATCTTCTTCCTCTATACGAAAAGAAAGATGAAATACATAAATGTAAGACATATTTACATATAACACATAACACCAACAATAAGACTAGATGACATACATACACACATACCACCCCAACACACAAACATACACACATACCACCCCAACACACAAACATACACACACCCCCATACAACACACACCAAACATACACACATACCACCCCAACACACACACAAACATACACACATACCACCCCAACACACACACAAACATACACACATACCACCCCAACACACACACAAACATACACACATACCACCCCAACACACACACAAACATACACACATACCACCCCAAAAAACACACAAACATACACACATACCACCCCAAAAAACACACAAACATACACACATACCACCCCAAAAAACACACAAACATACACACATACCACCCCAAAAAACACACAGACATACACACATACCACCCCAAAAAACACACAGACATACACACATACCACCCCAAAACACACACACACACACACACACCACTCCACAAACACACACACACTACACCGGAAATACAAGCATACAACAAGGGCTCCCCTTAACACAATACATCTCCCACAGTCAAACGCACATACCCCCCAAACACACGCAAACACTACCACCCCAAACACACACTACTGTACATCGTCCCATCCCTCAAACAAATGCAAAAACACCACACCATTATTTCACAAACACACACACACACATACACACACACACATACACCAAAACACACACGGTGGGTCTCAGTTCGGCACGAAATACGACTAGAACAAGTGATGATCCAAATAAACGTATGGCTTCAGAACCCAGTTATTGCATGTCTTTTGGTACTTATATATATATATATATATATATATATATATATATATATATATATATATAATCTTGTACCTAATAGCCAGAATGCACTACTTGGCCTACCATGCAAAGCCCACTTTGCCTAATAAGCCGAGTTTTCCTGAAGTTAAATGTCTTAATTTGTTTCTTATGAAATGATAAAACTTTACATTAGATATGATTAATTGTTCTTTTTAATTTGAGTTAAAACTAACATAGAAATACAAGCTAACCTAGAATAACATAACTAAGTCAGGAATTCATGTTCTTAATGTAATATAAAAATATTAATTAAAATAAACAAATTCGAAAACTTTTTGGGGAAAATATTGAAAATCACTCGGCCTATTAGAAAAATCGGGCCTTGCATACTAAGGCAAGTAGTGCATTCTGGCTATTAGGTACGATATTATATATATATATATATATATATATATATATAAGATGAAGTCTGTTGATTTATTATGTTTTAGTATATATCTCTGAGTATAGGATGCGGATGACGTATAGACAGGGCAGGATGCCCGGTGACCCCATAGGATACCCCTAGTCACCCACACCCAGGGTAATAGGATCCCAGCTCCTGTGCCCACAAGAACAAGGACCCATCAACCCCCATTCACACACTAACAGCGCTCTTATACTAAATCAGCATAGGACCCCATCATGCCCAACCGAACACAGGGCGACTAGAGGTGGGCAACACTCGATGAGGCCCTACATATGGCAACAATGAATTCAGGGATATTTTCCATAATAAATAAACCTTAAATTACGGGGTAGAATCAAGTCGTATACAAGACGATTCGGTACAGCTCGTTTTCTGTAAGTTAAAACCGTATATGGTTGGGTTAGGTGAGGTTGGGCAAGGTTAGGTTAGTTTTAAAATATGTTGGCAAACCGTCTTGTACATGACCTTATTTGTATAGCAAATTAACAATGTAAACTATGCTAATATGACACAAATTGCTGGCATATACACTAAACAGCATTTATATAATTATCACCATTAAATAAGTTACCAAACGAAACAAAGAAATATTATTTTCAACCAGATAAGAGTATTACAGTTAATATTTGTTTGACACAATTAAAATTGAGCCTGAGAGCTTTATACAATTATTGAGAAGCTGAAAAATGTGTGAAAACAGTTAATAAAAAATATCTGAATATTATTAAAATACAATTTAAAGACGTAATATTATAACTTACAAAAGCGACATTGCACAATTCATCTTTTTAAAAAATAATATGTTGACAACAATATTGCATATCAATATAAGAAAATTGTTACGAAAAATTCATAAAGTTACAAAGGCATTAGAAATAATATCTTGGTAGTATGTAAGCTGTGGGCTTACACCGATGTTCTCCCTGTTTAGGGAACCGTTTTGAAGACTGCGATAACAGAAGAGTGATAACTGTTACATTTAATACCTAAGTTCAATGTCATTAAGAGGTGAGCATGTCCAGCACCTCATCAACAGTCATGTTATTTTTGTGATACTCTTCCATCGTGTCCTTGGGGATTGTCCACTTCAGAAGGAGCAGGACGTTCTTGCGTAGTTCGTCCAGCCGTGAGAGCGACTTGTCGTTGATGGGAACATGACCGGAGGACTCCAACGACAGCTTTAGCACTTCGTCCACCAGTCGTTGGCCGAAGCCGAACTTGCGTCGCCGCTCTTCAGAGGAGATGCGGTAAAGGAGAACTGCAAGGCGGTTACGGAGCCGCGCCAGGGCGGACTCCTCCACCATCTCCTCGGCTTCCTGTTCAGCTGTCTTGTCCATGCCGTGGACCGTACGCTCGTGCCCGTCCAACTCGTTCTGCGTCTGGAAGAACTCTTTGCAGATGGTGCAGAGGTATGGCTTCGCGGCATTGTGAACGCATTTCATGTGCTTCTTCAGGTGCGGGAGTTGTGAGAACGAGGTCGAACACAACACACACTGGAATGGCTTCTCTCCGGTGTGAGACCGCATGTGGATTTTGCAAGCAGAGGAATGTGCAAATGCTGCACCACAAATTTGGCATTTGTATGGTCTCTCGCCGGTGTGGATCCTCATGTGGACAGTTAACTGTGAGTTTTGAGTGAATGTAGCACCACATGTCGAGCACTCGAAGGGACGCACGCCAAGGTGAAGCCGCATATGTTGCTGCAGGTGACCTTTGAAGGCCTTGCCGCACAGGTTACAATAGTAGGGGCGAGAGCCGCGATGGACTGTGCGTATGTGTTTGTATAACCCCTCCACCCGGATGAACTTCTTGCCGCAGGCGCCACACTGAAACTCCTTGACACCGCGATGAGCATTCAAGTGGCCCCTGAGTGTGTGATAGGAGGCGAAACGAGCTCCACACTCGGCACACTCATAAGCCTTCTCTCCAGTATGAACTCTTGAGTGTTGGGTGACTTGGCTGCGTCGAGCAAAGGTCTGGTCACACTGATCGCATTTGTGAGGTTTTTCTCCCGTGTGGACTCTCATGTGAAGCCTCAAGCGATCTTTCAAGGCAAAGCTCTTGTTGCATATGTCACATCTAAATGGTTTTTCTCCAGTATGGATAGTTTCATGTCCCCGAAGAGCAGTAATCTGGACGAAGGTTGAACTGCAGACCTTGCATTTGAATGGCCTCTCTCCAGTATGTATTCGTATGTGCTTCAGAAGATCTGCCTTGGCTGATGAAAACTTGCCACAAATCCCGCACTTGAACCTGGGGCGTTTGGATTTATTAAATGTTTCGTACTTATCACTGGCGCCTCCTTCGGCTTCCTTAAGGACAATGATGTGCTCTTCGTTCGGATCTTTGATAGTTTCATTTCTGGAGTCTTTGCTGTCTGAGGATCCATCATCACTGTCCAAGTCGTCGATATCTATCTCCATGCCATCGTCTGTGCTCTCTCCATCTTGATCCTTGGCTGTGTTATCAGTGCCACCAGGTTTCTTCCCTTGCGGTGTGTTTACTTTCTCTGTTGTCTTCTTTTCTGGCGAGTCTGGAGTCTTGTCGTCAGCCTCAGAGTTCTTGTTAGAGTTTTGACTTTCTTGTTTCTTGCAGTTATCGCCCTCTGCTGCCTTTTTGGATACTCTGGGAGTTTTCTTTGTGTCTCTCTTCAAAACTGATATTTTTTTAGAGTCTTTAGTCTTGTTGTTTACTGCCAAGTTCGAATTTTCTCCAGCCTTGTCTGGGGTTTTGCTCTTCGATGGGGAGCTTGCTGCTGAGGTCTTCTGTCCAGCCTTTTCTTTGGTTGGGCTTGAAGTGATGACAATTTTATCAGACCTCTTATGCCTAGTCGGACTAGAAACTTCGTTATCTGGTGTTAGTTTCCCTTTCCCAGTATCTGAAGTTATCGTAATCTTGCCTGCCATTTTTCCTTTTTTGGGAGTAGAATTTTTAGCTCTTACTCTAGACTTCGTCGGGCTGGACAATGTCGGTTTAGCGCCGTGACTTGATTTTTTATTTAAGCTCACCCCATTCTCAGCTTTTATTTTCCCCGTTTCGTGTCTGTTGAAGACCTGGTCTGTTGCGTGTTCTGTGGCCATGGCTTTCTCTAGTGGTTTATATCTATTGGGATTCAGAAGTGTGGCCATACCATCCTTTTCCGTTTGTGCTCCGTCATCTTTACTACCAACTAGTTCAGGTATTATGGTCACATCGCCTTCGCTCGTGTCTATCAGAGGCACTTCGCTTCCAAGGGAGTCCGGGGACATCACCTCAATGGCGTCAATCATTAGACTTTTACCGTCGCCGCTCTTCAGGAAGCCTTTAGTAGATGCCTGCTTCTTATTCTTGCCTTTTGATATAGTTTTATCAAACAGCTTATTTTTCTGCTGAGACTTTAAGTTCTGTTTGGCTCGCATTTTGGTTCGAAGTCGCCCCTCGGGAGTTATGTGAGCATGTGCGATGAGAGTGATAAACTATATACAGATGTTTTTCACAGATGTGTTGAAGGTGGTGAAGGGTCGTGGTGAGTGAGAGTTAGTTCTGAAGGAAGGTTAAGACACCCGCCACCATCAGACTAGTGTGATAGCACCTGCAAAAGAAAGAGAGAGAGGCCACAACCGCTATAAGCATGATGTACTCACTACAGGTATCGGGCGACTAGTTCCTGCACTCTTTATATATACCACAACCAAAGTATAGGCATTCTTTAGACTACTGATCTACAGCGTGAAGGACCCACAACCATTAAATATAAATATTTATATTAAAGTTGCTTATGTATACAGGCGATGAGTCACAATAACGTGGCTAAAGTATGTTGATCAGACCACACACTAGAAGGTGAAGGGACGACGACGTTTCGGTCCGTCCTGGACCATTCTCAAGTCACAATCGACTCGAGAATGGTCCAGGACGGACCGAAACCTCGTCATCCCTTCACCTTCTAGTGTGTGGTCTGGTCAACTTGCTTATGTATACAATAGTTTGAAACCTGGAAAGAGAACCACCACCATATTATTGCCATTCTTATGCTAGCCTAGATTCTACTAGCCTAGATTCCCTCCTCTCTTATCAATTCATTCCGAAATAAGTAAATTTGAAAAATCTGCTAAATATATGAAAAACAGTAAGATTATAAATGTATTATCGACGGGCAAATTTTGACATGCATTGCTGGTTAAAACGTGTTCATAATACTAGAGTTAGGCCAAGCATGCCCTTGATAACGTTGATAACGTTGACATGCATTGCTGGTTAAAACGTGTTCATAATACTAGAGTTAGGCCAAGCATGCCCTTGATAACGTTGATAACGTTGACATGCATTGCTGGTGAAAGCTTATGTACAACATGGTTAAAATCATGCGTGGCCCTAAACCTGGCGCCAGATTCACGAAAGCACTTACGCAAACACTTACGAACCTGTACATCTTTTCTCAATCTTTGGCGGCTTTGTTTCCAATTATTAAACAGTCATTGAGCTCGGAAGCACCAGGAGGCTGTTTATAACAATAACAACAGTTGATTGGGAAGTTTTCATGTTTGTAAACTGTTTAATAAATGTAACCAAAGTCGTCAAAGATTGAGGAAAGATGTACACGTTCGTAAGTACTTGCGTAAGTGCTTTCGTGAATCTGGCCCCTGGACCCTTCCTCTCATGCACTTATCATGTGACCCTAAGACGCATACGCCTAGTGCTCTGAACTCTTAAAATACAGATTTATGTTAAGGCTTCTAGGATTCCCAGGCGTAATCTAGTACTCTACACAATGCTCACAGATCAGCGGCATAAAGCCCTATAAACCATGCATTCACTAAGGTACAATTAACTTAAGAATCACAATTCCTACAAGTCGTATAGAATTTGAAACAACGTTGCTGGGGGGGGGGGGGGGTTAGCCGGCACTTCCTGAATCTGTTTGTCTATCTTCTCTCTCTATATTTATCTATCTATCCCCCTCTCCCTTCCCTCCCTCTCACAGTGAATTATCATGGGAAAGCGCCAAGCCATTAAGACTATATAGCACTTGGAATGGATCAGGATAAGGATTAAGGGATCAGGATAAGGACAGGGGGGGGGGGGGAAGGAATAGTGCCCAACCACTTGGACGGTCGGGGATTGAACTCCGACCTATTATTATTATTAAGAACCACTGAAACAACTGTATGGGTCTAACAAATTATATAATGACAAAAACTCCATGTTAATGACACGAAGGACTCCATGTAAATGACCTAGGCTGTTTATAATTGTTAACATTTCTTAAAGCATTTAACTTTGGCCTACCCCGACCAGCCTATGTCCATCCCTTACCCCAGACCATTCCCCTTGCAAAACTGAGTCAGGCTAGCTCCGTGCGCGTGGCCTCCAGCTTTGGACAGCCAAACATACATTCTTATATTACAAGGTATATCATATAAGGTACACTAGGGGAGGCACTCGACTTCGGTCAGATCGGTCTGTCTTTATCTATCCATCTATATCCACCCATCCACGAGAAGGGCTAAAGTTTTAGTTGGGCAGCAGATAGATGCGTCTGGGATCCTCTAGGACGGTGTTGGTGGCTCACTAGGTAGAGCAGCTGGCTACTATCTCTGTGGTCGCGGGTTCGAGGCTACCATTACCCAGGTGAATGTAAACAAATATATATATATATGTATATATATATATATATATATATATATATATATATATATATATATATATATATATATATATATATATATATATATATATATATAAACTACTATTATTAATATGTTTAAATGTACAGGTATGCAAGATTAGGTTAATTGAAGGAGGTAAGTTGGACTAGTGATGACCGAGAGTCAGAACACTACACCGTGCGTGTTGACTACTGTGTACCAGGAGGTGTAGGAGTAATGTGAGTGTGAAGGGTCTGGGTGAATATTATGGTGAACCTTTACCCTGTGGAGTGTGTGTCTTTGTCTCTGTGTCACTGTCTGTCTGTCTCTATCTCTCTCTCTCTCTCTCTCTCTCTCTCTCTCTCGTCTCTCTCTCTCTCTCTCTCTCTCTCTCTCTCTCTCTCTCTCTCTCTCTCTCTCTCTCTCTCTCTCTCTCTCCTCTCTCTCTTCTCTCTCTTCCCACCCACTGACACAGTCCCCAACCACTGACACGTCCCCACCCACTGACACAGTCCCCCACCCCACTGACACAGTTCCCCACCCACTGACACAGCCCCCACCCACTGACACAGTCCCCACCCACTGACACAGCCCACCCACTGACACAGTCCCCCACCCCTGACACAGTCCCCACCCACTGACACAGTCCCCACCCACTGACACAGTCCCCACCCACTGACACAGTCCCCACCCACTGACACAGTCCCCACCCACTGACACAGTCCCACCCACTGACACAGTCCCACCCACTGACACAGTCCCACCCACTGACACAGTCCCACCCACTGACACAGCCCCCCACCCACTGACACAGTCACCACCCACTGACACAGCCCCACCCACTCACACAGTCACCACCCACTGACACAGCCTCCACCCACTGACACAGTCCCCCCTACTGACACAGGCCCCACCCCACTGACACAGCCCCACCCACTGACACAGTGGACACACCCACTGACACAGCCCCACCCACTGACACAGTCCCCCCCACTGACACAGTCCCCACCCACTGACACAGTCCACCACCTACTGACACAGCCCCCACCCACTGACACAGTCCCCACCTACTGACACAGCCCCCACCCACTGACACAGTCCCCCACCACTGACACAGTCCCCACCCACTGACACAGTCCCCACCCACTGACACAGTCCCCCCCCACTGACACAGCCCCCCCACACCCACTGACACAGCCCCACCCACTGACACAGTCCCCACCTACTGACACAGCCCCCCCCACCCACTGACACATTCCCCACCCACTGACACAGCCCCCCACCCACTGACACAGCCCCCACCCACTGACACAGCCCCCACCCACTGACACAACCCCCTCCCACTGACACAGCCCCCCACCACTGACACAGTCCCCACCTACTGACACAGTCCCCCACCCACTGACACAGCCCCCACCCACTGACACAGTCCCCACCCACTGACACAGTCCCCACCCACTGACACAGCCCCCCACCCACTGACACAGCCCCCACCCACTGACACAGTCCCCCACCCACTGACACAGCCCCCACCCACTGACACAGTCCCCACCCACTGACACAGTCCCCACCCACTGACACAGCCCCCCACCCACTGACACAGTCCCCACCCACTGACACAGTCCCCACCCACTGACACAGTCCCCACCCACTGACACAGCCCCCCACCCACTGACACAGTCCCCACCCACTGACACAGTCACCACCACCCACTGACACAGTCCCCCACCCACTGACACAGTCCCCACCCACTGACACAGTCCCCCACCCACTGACACAGTCCCCACCCACTGACACAGCCCCCACCCACTGACACAGTCCCCACCCACTGACACAGCCCCCACCCACTGACACAGCCCCCCACCCACTGACACAGCCCCCACCCACTGACACAGCCCCCACCCACTGACACAGCCCCACCCACTGACACAGCCCCACCCACTGACACAGTCCCCACCCACTGACACAGTCCCCCACCCACTGACACAGCCCCACCCACTGACACAGTCACCACCCACTGACACAGCCCCCACCCACTGACACAGCCCCACCCACTGACACAGCCCCCACCCACTGACACAGTCCCACCCACTGACACAGCCCCCACCCACTGACACAGTCCCACCCACTGACACAGTCCCCCACCCACTGACACAGCCCCCACCCACTGACACAGCCCCCCACCCACTGACACAGTCCCCCACCCACTGACACAGCCCCCACCCACTGACACAGCCCCACCCACTGACACAGTCCCCCACCCACTGACACAGCCCCCCACCCACTTACACAGCCCCACCCCCTGACATAGTCACCCACCCACTGACACAGCCCCCACCCACTGACACAGCCCCACCCACTGACACAGCCCCCACCCACTGACACAGCCCCCCACCCACTGACACAGTCCCACCCACTGACACAGCCCCACCCACTGACACAGCCCCCCACCCACTGACACAGCCCCCCACCCACTTACACAGCCCCCACCCACTGACACAGTTCCCCACCCACTGACACAGCCCCCACCCACTGACACAGCCCCCCCCCACTTACACAGCCCCCACCCACTGACATAGTCACCACCCACTGACACAGCCCCACCCACTGACACAGCCCACACCCACTGACACAGCCCCACCCACTGACACAGCCCCCACCCACTGACACAGCCCCCACCCACTGACACAGCCCCCACCCACTGACACAGCCCCACCCACTGACACAGCCCCACCCACTGACACAGTCCCCACCCACTGACACAGCCCCCACCCACTGACGTGTAACACTCTCTGGTACAGAAAGGGATCAGAGATGGAGAAGAGGTCACAGGGCGACGGTGTTGGTGTTAGGGAAGTGCGTTGGAGATGAAGTATAGATGTTGGAGTAAACTTAAGACCTCCGAAGGACTACCTACAGAAGACCTAAGCCAGTGTTGGAGAAC